CTCACGGGTCGCTTTCACTGTCGCCATTGTGGTTTCCAACCATTGGCTCGCAGCCGCGTTGGCCTCCTTGGTCCGTGTTTCAAGACGGGTCGCATCAGCCCGGTTTCGCCAGCGCCGACCCGTGAGGGTCATCCTCGGTCTCCGCCGCGGTGGGAGCGAGCTCCTTTTCCCGCGGCATCGACCGGCGCTGCGTACCTCCGGGCCCCGCGCGAACGGGGCCCGCAGGTTTGCTTGGGCTCATGCGCTTATCCTCCTGACGATTTCAAGCACTTTTTACTCTCTTTCCAAAGTTCTTTTCATCTTTCCCTCGCGGTACTTGTTCGCTATCGGAAACCTGGCCGTATTTAGCCTTGGATGGAGCTTACCACCCATGTTGGGGCTGCACTCCCAAGCAACCCGACTCTTCGGATGCGTCTCGTGGAGTGACGGGTCGTCGCCCGACGGGGGTGTCACCCTCTCTGCCGCCACTTTCCAGTGGACTTAAGGCGGCGCCCGTCACAGAGAACGCTTCCTTTTCAGACTACAATTCGGAGGGCCGGGGGCCCTCGGATTTCAAGCCTGGGCTTTTCCTTGGTCGCTCGCCGCTACCAAAGGAATCACGGTTGTTTTCTTTTCCTCCGCTTAGTAATATGCTTAAATTCAGCGGGTGGTCTCGCCTGACTTGAAGCCATCGTTTGGGGTTTGCCCGGTTCCTCCCCGTCCGACCATTTTTGTACGAGCCCCGTCCGCCTCTCGCCCGTTCTTGTGCGCTACTTTGGAGGGGGAGACCGGGGGTTGCCACGCCCCCGGCTCCCGAACCTTTTCGCGACCGTCTCGGGAGAGAAAGAGGGACCGAGTGACCGGCCCCCCCACCTGCTGGGAGGTCCGGACGGAGTCCGTTGGCCGGCTGGGTTCGCCGAGCCCAGCGGGGTCGCCGCCCGCCTCATCTCGCTCGTCCCACTCGCGTCCTCCCGGGTGGCGCCCGGGGATCTGCACTGGGGTCGAGAGGAGCGGAGACGGGCTAATGCGGCCCTGCGATTTCAACCGACTGCCCCCCATTTGTGCCCCGGAGCGCACGGGTTGCGACGGCCATCTCGTTTTCCCAGGTACGAGCGATTGTCTCGGAGAAAGGGGGGGGCCGGAGCCCACACCAACCCGAGCGCCCCTTGTCTGCCCCGCATTGCTTTCCCGTCCCGTTTCCCCTGCCGCACTTAGCTGCGTGCGGAGGGGTGGGTTCGGATGCGAGGTTCCACCTGGATGTGTGTGGCGTTCAAGCAGACGTGCCCTCGGCCGAGGCCTCGGGCGCAACATGCGTTCAAAGTTTCGATGATTCACGGAGTTTTGCAATTCGCATTACGTATCGCATTTCGCTGCGTTCTTCATCGAGCCAGGTTCCAAGATATCCATCGTCAGGAGTGGGGTCCCAGTTTTTATTAGGTGCCGGGGCCCGTGGGCGCCCCGCTCAAGGGAGGGTTTTTTGCGACCGGACGGCCAGTTCCGGTTGCGGAGAGGTTTGTATTCCGCCTCTGCCCGCAGCTCCTTGATGCACTGCGAGCGGGACGGTTGGGGGTAGCAAAAGGGTCCCTTTGCCATCACCGCGGGCGCCCCTTCCCGAGCCTTCCCAGAGGAATTCAGAAGGCCGGGCGAGCAAGACCCCGCAGTCACACCGCCGATGCCAAGAGAGACCGAGCACCGGTGGCGGGGGACGCTGGATTGGGAGGAGGAGCGTCGGAAGGAAAGGTGTTCAGAGGATACTCGAGGTCAGGCCCCGGGCTTCCCTCGCTTGCGCTTGGTAGGCCCGAGCTGTTTCCATCAGGGCTGGGGAGTTTTTTTTTTTGTCCGCATGGACGCCCGGTGCCGCCGGGTTGCTGCATTCCCTGGTGTCGAGGCTCGTCACGAACTGGAAGGAAAGAGCTTCGGGTGCCACCCCTCCGCCCAGGCCGACCGTGTCCGCGTCTTGCCTCGCTCCCGATCGCGGCTAGCCTTTCGGGTGGCGGCCCTAATAAGCTCGCTGCGTGAGAGGGGACGGCAACCTGACCTCCTGCGAGAGGAGGTTCGCCCGGTCCCCCCGAGTTGCGAGCAACCCGGAGGACCCGAGGGCGGTCGTTTCGTCACTCGTTCTTAGGGGCGTTTGCCGAGGTCTGGGATCAACCAGGGCGGTGCCCCATGCCTGTCGGGGTGCGCTTTCCGTTCAGCACCACAACGGATCCATCGGTGCTCGGACTTTTTTCGAGCCACCGCACCACGCCAGCTCGCCGATCGCTCGCCAAAACGACCGACGCGCTCGCGGGGCACGGCCTGAGGTGGGGTTCCTGCATTGTTCCGACGGATCCTCCGACAAGGCCACGGGCACGGAGATCCGGCAGCCGGCTGAACGCCGGTCGTCATCCTTCCGTGCCCTCGAGCGTGCTCTGGACGCTCGCCTCCTCCTAGGAGGAACGCGAGAGCCCGCCATCTCTCTCGTCGCCGCTCGCAGCCCGGGCACGGGTGGAACCCGATTCCTTTTTGCGAGCGGGACGCG